TGCCTGCGCCGAATGCAGCAGGAAAGAATGCAGCCTGACGGGGTCATCGTGCTAAATGTTCTATCTGCCTGCGCACACGCGGGGCTTGTGAGCGAGGGCCTTCAGCTACTTTTCGAGATGGAGCCGCGATATGACATTGTCCCCCAGCACGAGCATTACAGCTGCGCAGTGGACATGCTGTGCCGCGTCGGACGGCTCGACGATGCACTGGAGCTCATACGAAAGATGCCGATTAGGCCACTGGCGTCGGTGTGGGGATCGTTGCTGACGGGGTGTAGGCTCTATGGGAACGTCGAGCTGGCGGAGATGGCGGTGGCAGAGCTGCAGGGGTTGACAGAGGACGATGAGGGGGTTTACGTGCAGTTGTCGGATATTTATAGGGATGCCGGGAGGTTGGAGGATGCTAGGAGAGCGAGGAGGCTGGTTGGGAGGAGAGGGACGAAGAAGACGGCGGCGTGGAGCTCCGTGGAGGTGGAGGGGGCGGCGAGATCGTTTTTGGCGGGGGATTGCGTGCATCCGAGGAGGGTGGAGATTGGGAGGATGCTGGAGTTGGTGACTGAAAATATCAGTTGGAATTTGGATCCTCTCTGTCGCAATATTTACGATAGAGAAATTATTTCTTCAGTTATGACAGAATAACATGTGCAAGATCACAATTCATTCCGACATCTATTGATTGTTTGTTGAAGCTAATTTAACTTTTTGTATAACCCCTTCGATAATTTAGTAAAAAGCAATGCAACATCTGTATTGAATTAACAGAGTGTACTGTAAATTGTAGATTTTATCTGTTGTCTCGTGCAAAAGTTTTACTAATTAGTCTGAGTTATGACATGCAGATTAGTGGAAGTGATATGAAATTTGAGATATGTGAAAGATTAGAGAGTTAGCATAAGGCTAATTTCTCGTATAAATGCGCTGTTCAAGTGAATCATATGCCATACTTAATAATTATAAGTTTATTACTAAATAACCTTAATTAGCTTGCTAAAGAGAGATAATAATGCTAACACGAACCAATCACTTCGCTCCACGTATCAGACTACATCAGTGCTCTTCAGCAGCTGCTCTCGTCCCGTCTTTGCCACGCCGATCTCTAAACACGTCCAAATTCATCCGCAGATCCAAACCCGAAACCGCGCGATCCCCGCCCCATTACAAAACCCTTTTTAGAGTCAGACTGAGCATGCGGATTTGGCCGCAGCAGCGCAGCCTCGATTCTCAGCCGCCGCATCCTCATCGCCGATCGGCAGATCCCGGATGGACGGCAGCG